GGGAGAGAATAATAGGACAGAGAACTGATCATAGTGGGGTACTAGCCATAGTTATAAGAAATGTTAAAGATCCTTGCTCCGGCCCTGTCTGGTTTGGCTCAGCAGTTGGAGCATTGGCCTGCGGACCAGAGAGTCCCGGGTTCAGTTCCCACTAGGGGCACGTACCAAAAAAATTTAAAAAAAAAAGATCCTTGCTCTGTTCATTGACATTGCTTCCTTCTGATTAAAGAAAGTCCATCCTGACCTGGCTGGGGATTGTATGCCCTGGGACCTGTGAGTTCACCTGGAAATGCCACCCATTCTCCTTATCTGAGAAGTGCCGCCTCATCATGGAAAGATTAACAGCCCTGGAGTCCTGGAGGCGTGCCCTGGAGACAACCCTTCATAGTCCCCAGCCCACAGCCCACAGCCCCAGTTACTTCCCCATGACTACATGTAATCTGTAACCATTTTTCCCATTGTTATTCCTTTTTGCCTACCTGCCCTTCCAAAGTTACCCAAGAAAAACACCAGCTACTGAGAGAGATCAGAGCAGATTTCTCAGGGATGATCCGCTGCTTTCCCATACTGCTGGCAATATTGGAATAAATGCTCATATATGACTCAACCTTGTCTCTGCTTAATTGGCTCAAGTAGTGAGAGGCAGCCCAGACCTGTTTGTTGTCTGGTTTCAATTTCACTTACTTTTTTTAATGTAGCTATTAGAACAATGAAACTGATAGATGGGACTTGATTTATGACTCACATTGTCTTTCTGTTGGAGAGCAGTGATCTAGATCCTTCCTTTTAACTGCTGTCAATCTGGGTTTTGTTCATTGGTGAAGGAGCAAGCCCTAAATCTGAGTAAGAACTAATACAGTCGTCCCTCGCCACTTGGCGCTTCATGGTTACCATGATAGAGTGAGCCGGAAAGCCAAAGTGGGGAGTGGCGAGGGACGACTGTGTATAAATAAAGAATCCTACTTCGTGCAAATTCATTTATCACGGTAGAGTCTGGAACTGATTAACCGTGATAAACAAGGGCCAACTGTAGTTACTGTTCAGATACTTTTCTTTTGTTACTCCTCACCTGAAGATATTTTTTCCATTGATTTGTTAATATCCTTTTTAATCCTCACCGGAGGATATTTTTTTTCTATTTATCCTCAGATAGAGTGGGAGGGAGAGAGAGAGAAACATTGATGTGAGAGACACACATCGACTGGTTGCCTCCTGCACAACCCTGACTAGGGCTGGGGACGAACCACAACCGAGATATGTGCCCTTGGCTGGAATCGAACTCGCGATTCACTGGTCCTCTGGCCGACACTCTATTGCTGAGCCAAACTGGCCAGGGCTCCATTGATTTTCTAAGGAGTGGGAGGAAGGGAGTAGAGGAAGGGAGGGAGAGAGACACATCGACTGGTTGCCTTCCCTACACACCCCTACCAGGGCCAGGTGTCCAGTCTACACCACACCTTCAGTGCATGGGCCGGTGCTCTAACCCTGAGCAACCGTCCAGGGCCACAGCTACTTTTCTGAGTAATGGGTATGTAATAACCCATTCATTCCTCTGGGAGGTTGCACAAGGGGGAGTGTTGCAAAGTCATGTAACTTCAAGCAAGCTGAGCTGGACTGGAGGCAGAGAGGCCGGCTGCATGGCCTGACCTTGGGGCTGCCAACCTGACAAGAAAGGCCCTCCGAGAGACCCTGTAAACCTGCCTGAGAAAGCCACGACCAAATAGCTTAATTTGCTGCCGTCTCTAGCGATATACAGCCTCTACATGTTGTGGACGACAAGGGGCCACATGCTGACCTGACAAGCTCGGGGACGCCTGCGTGGCGGCCTGCAAACTCAAAGACCTAAAGTAACCGCCAAGGGTGGTCTGAAATGTAAACCTTTTAACTAAAAGCAGGTTATGGCAGGTAGTCCTGTCCTGGGCTGGCATCTTCCCGGACAAAGGTCAATTTTCACCTTAATGGAACCTATTACCTTTTCATTTTTTTTGCATCTAAGAGAAGAGACCTTTTGCATCTAAGAGAAAGTGAGGTCACTTTCTCCAGACCCCTCGGAGCACAACCGATGCACCAGGGTGGCAACCACAAATCTCATTGTTATGATTGTGTTCATCATTGACTGCTGACTGTCCTGTACCCCCCTCCATAAAAGAAGGATGTGTCTATCATTTTACTTTTCATCCAATCCCAGAGGTTTCCCCGCTCTGCTTTCTTCCGCCTCCCTAATCTACCACCAAGGGATTTCATGTGACCCACTTATGTCTTCCCTTTTTATTGTAATGTATAAAATAAGAAGCAAAACTGCCGTTCTCCGGAGCATTATCTCAATCCCTTAAGGTTTTGCTTCCCAGCATTTGTCGACAGTTTGGCTCAAATAAACTCACAAAATTCTTTACAGGTTTGAATGTTTCTTACGTAGTGATATTAACTACTTTTAGGGCAAACTGTCAATGCAACATTCTCATTCAGGCTTCCTACGTTTTCAATTTGTTTCCTTTAGCCATGTCTATTTATACCTAAACTATTTTTTTTTCCTTTTTATAAAAAAGAGGTGTCTTTGTCTGGCTGGTTTGGCTCAGCGGTTAGAGCATCGGCCCACGGTCCAGAGAGACCTGGGTTCGGTTCCCGCTAAGGGCATGTACCTCAGTTGCAGTTTGTCCCCGGCCCCAGTTGGGGTCGTTCAGGAGGCAGCCACTCGATGTGTCCCTTTCACGTCGATGTCTCTCTCTCTCTCTCTCTTCCTCTCTCTCCCTCCCACTTTGTCTGAGCAAAAATGGAAAAATGTCCTTGAGTGAGGATAAATAAAAAAAAAAAGAGGTGTCTTCATTATTCTGTCAACAATCAAATGGAGGCTGGTAATTAAGTTATAAAACACACTGGGCCCCGCTGGGTGGCTCGGTTGGTTGGAGCGTCATCCCATGCGCCAAAAACGTTATGGGTTCGATTCTCAGTCAGGACACATACCTGGGTTGTGGGTTCAAGTCGTGGATAAATGTTTCTCTCTCTCTCTCTTTCTCTCTCTCTCTCTGAAAGAAATCAATAAACACATCCTTGGGTGAAGATGAACAAACACACACTGGGAGAGAAAAGGTGACATGATTGCCATGGGGATATTACTGATGAATATTAGACTGCTTTTGGAATTCTGAATAAAAATTCCACTTTAACATTTCAAATAATAAAGTTACAGAACTGGTAGGGACCTGAGGTCTCCCAAGTTAGTTAAGACCAAAAGCTTGGTGTCAGGCAAGCTGTGTGGCCCTGGGGCCAGTATTTTCACCATTGTAAGCCTCAGTTTCCTCGTCTATTAAATAGAGAAACTAGTATCTACCTTCTAGAGCTTGTTCGTGCATTAAATGAGATACTGATTATGACTCTGTTCCTTGTACCTACTTTGATTCCATGGTAGTTATAGTAATTACTATTATTAGTAGTAGTACTGTTAGACTATCATTGTTTCTCCAGATGACTCGGAGCGTATATAGTCTCTTCAAGCAACCTAATCCTACCCCAACAGGACTTCCTCCTCCACTCTCCACCAGGACTCTTGAAGCAGGTTGGGGGGGGGGGGTCTACCCTAGCAGGAAGAAAACCCTGCAGTCCCGCCCTCCGCGTGCTCTCCCACTGGGGTGCTCTAGTAAAGAGGCTCATTAGTAGAGAACCTGGACAGCACACCCTCCCACCCTCCCCTTCTGCAACCTTGCTTCCACAAACCTCTCCTGATGCACCTCAACATGTTAGCATTGATGCTTTCCTTGGGATCAGCCCCTTGCTGTGGAGTGTTACTGCTTATCTTGCTACATGAATGAGGATATTTTTCTTTCTTTACTGATTTTAGAGAGAGAGGAAGGGAGAGGGAGAGAGAGATAGAAACGTCGATAAGAGAGAACATCGTTTGGCTGCCTCCTGCATGCCCCCGCTGAGGATCGGGCCCACAACCCGGGCCCGTGCCCTGACTGGGAATTGAACTGGCCATGTCTTGGTGCGTGGTTTGATAGTCAACCACTGAGCCACCCCGGCCGAGCCTGAGAATATCTTTCCATTGATTTTTAGATAGAGTGGGAGGGAGAAAGGGAGGAAGAGTAACATCCATGTGAGACACATCAGTTGGTTGCCTCCCACATGACCTGGGCCAGGGGTCGAACCTGCAACCCAGGAAGGTGCCCTGGACTGGGAATCGAACCCTTGACCCTTGGGTGGTGCTGAGGCTCTAACCGCTGAATCAAACGGCCAGGTCTTCCTTGCCTCTCTTAAGGCCCGTAATGGTGGCCTGAGGAAGGATGGAGCTTTCCTAGCTCCTGTCTTCTTCCACTCACTCACTAAGCTGAGGGGTGTCCCCACAGAAGTCGCCCACTTTGGCCTGGGATCCTACGGTGTCCTCAAACCAAACCTTGGAGGTTAACTCGGTGTCTGAGGAACTTGGAAAGCATTTGGGGCTCTGTCATGACCCTGAACTGAAGGTTCTGGGGGTGAGGAAAAGGGAGCACAGGTTTGGAGACGCTGACCCTCTGGACCTGATGCTAATTCCTGACACTCGGCCGTTCTGCTTTGGGACAGCCCGGCTGCCCCTTGGCTTCCTCTATCAGCTGCCTTGGACCCTCTCCGTCAAGAGAACAGGAATACTATGTTTTTCGAAAACAAATCTCCTATTTCTTACTGTTGCATCCTTTAGCTGTCTTCATAGCCAAATCCAGGGCAGCCGGCACCCGCCAGTCCTTGTTGCCTAGTAACAGCTGCCGCCACACCGCCCCGCGCCTTTCCCCCGCCTGGCGCCCAGCGCGCACGCTCACAGTCCCCCTCCAGGCCCCGCCCCGCGCCCAGCGCGCACGCTCACAGTCCCCCTCCAGGCCCCGCCCGCGCCCAGCGCGCACGCTCACAGTCCCCCTCCAAGCCCCGCCTCCGCGACGAGCGGAAGTGACGAGCGGGGTCCGCGACAGGTTCGACGACCGGTCGCACGGGCCCCTGTTTCCTTTCTGGCTGGGTCTCCCGCGGGGTTGGGCGCCATGGCCTCCGCCGCGCTGGCCTCCGGGCGCCAAGCCGAGGATGCGTTGCCGCCGCCCGCCGAGCCGCCGCTGCCCGACACGAAGCCTCAGCCGCCGCCGGTCGCCGCGCCCCAGCAGCCGTCGCCGAGGCCTCCGTCGCCGGCGGGCGTGAAGGAGGAGAGCTACTCCTTTCTGCCGCTGGTCCACAACATCATCAAATGGTAAGGCCCGGGGCGGCCGCGACTCGCCCTCCGCCTCTCGGCGCCCGTGTCTGGCCCGTGGCGGAAATGGGGAAACAGGCCTGGGGAGGAGGCTTTCCTTGGGTTCGGCAGGTGTTTGAGCCCCGAGCTGCCGGACCTCGTGATGGACGGCGGCGCGTCCTTGGAAACGGAGCGGCCCGGAGACGGCGTGACAGGCCCTGCGACCCCGCGACTCCAGTTTGCGCCCTACCGATCTGGAACGAGTCTCTTCCCGGGCCCCGGTGTTCGCCTGAGGATAGGGGTGCACTCGTCCCGCTTTCCCGTTTCATCAGATCCAGCCGAGGTGGCTCGTCCCCCCCGGGCGGCACGTTGCTCACCAGTTAGAAGGGAACCCGCAGTCTGCCAAGTGGAGGGTGGTGATGGGGGACAGGAAAGACGACAGCTGCAGAGGTTGTCCCCCGAATCGATCCCGGTTCTAACACGGTATCAGAGCAGGCAGTTGTCCTGTCGCCTAGTCCTCAGGTTAGCCCACGTTTTTAAACGGACCCTGTACAGGAAACCAAAATCCAGTCAGCAGTCTCGGTGATCCCCTGTGTGCCCGGGTTACTTTTCCTGTTGTTATTCATGCCCACGTGGTGCTAGGTGTGAGCTCTTCAGCTGGTAGCTCTTACTTAACCATCAAAAACCGAAATAAAGTACGTTAAAACCAGTGGCCTTACAGTAACATTCCAGGGAACGTTCGTGCCCTGTTTGGGCTATTTTCGCTGCGTGGAATTGCCAATCTCAACATGCAAGTGTGGCTAAGAGTGGCCCCGCCGCCTTTGAGTGTAGGCAGACTAGCTTCACTTGATGTGGGGTGACCGGATGGGTCCGCTGTTCAAACAGCTGCGAGGCCTTTGTCCACCCATACTGTGTAGAAGGTAAGGCAGACTGCTCGATTCTCCTTGGCCTGTGCTCATCAAGTAGCTTCTCCATTGGCAGCCAAAGAAAAGAGAGGCACCAACCCAAGAGAGGTCACTGGGGCTCCCCAAGAAAGAACCTGGTCAGTGCGAATGACTGGATAACCAAGGTCACTAAGCATGTGGAGAAAACCCCTAGTAAGGAAGACAGCACAAAGAAGAGCAGCAATAGCCACGTGGACGAAACATGCAGAGAGCAGGAGAGCTACTGTAACCATGAAGAAGGGTTAGGATCTGATTTTAAGTTATGTCTAATTGACTAATGAGGGAAGGAGACAGACTTATAAGGACATTATGGGAGAGAGACCTCACGAAACCTGAAGGAGTCAGGTGGTAAGGGTTGATGCCAATGATGAGTCTTAAATTATGGGAGGGAGGAAGGGGGCTACAGGAAGGGCACGTGTACGAGTGGGGTGCCAAGAAATAGCATCAACTCATGGGAGTCCACTTAGTTTGGTGGCTGGAACACATATCCAGAGTAGGAAGGGAGAGCTGGAGAGGCCAGGAAAGCCAGGATACAGAGGACAGTGCGTCCCCCTCGGGTGAGATTTTTGTCCTCAGGAATCTGGTGAAGCTTTCAAACCAAGTCTTGTCAGATTTGTGCTCAGTGAGGAAGGCCCCTGTCCTGGAGGCCGGAGAGGGAAGGAGGGCCAGGGCCAGCTCAGTCACCCAGGCCCTGGATCTCGTCCTCTTCCATGGCTTCCCAGGTGGCACTTTTATTATTTGTTTACTCCTTGCCTAGGGGATGAATAAGGAAGTTAAAGCTGAAGTGAGTTTAACCTTCCTTGTTCTCTTAAGAATTCAGAGTACTCCATCATTAGGCTTTTAAAAACATTTTATTTTTAAAAAGTTAAAATTGCAAATTCAGAAACGTAAAATGAAAGAAGGGTTCCTTCCCCTAAGTTTCTTCACTAAGGATAACTGCTGTGTTAATACTTTAAGTGTCCTTCCAGGAATTATACATATACGCACATCTTTTCAAGAAGTGTGCAAAATAAGATTGTGTTGTGCTTTGCTTCTCACTTGTTAGTCTGTCCAACACCTTTCCGTGCTCACACGTGGAAGCCTTCCTCAGTGAGGTGGCTGTGTCGTGTCCTGTACTTTCTTCTCTTGGTGAGCTTTTCCGTTGTTGGTCTAACCTCTGCTATTCCCAGCAGGGCTAGTGAGGTGAGCATCCTTATATTTCAGTAAGTCTGTGATGAGGTAAATCCCCAGGCAGTGGAAGGAAGTACTGGAGTGGGCAGTCTATGCATTTTAAATTTTGATAGCTGTTGCTAAATATAAAGTGCTATATCTTTTTAACTCTTCCTCTAAAACACGTTCCTGTCGATTGGACTGCTTAAATACCTAAAATGTCCCATAAATATGTGACCCAGAAAGTAGTAAAAAAAAAAAAAATTAACATTGTAGATGTATTCAGAGTACCCATGGATATAAAATGGCAAGTGAGCCTCTCCCTCCACTCTTCCCAGCTCCCTCTCCAGTCCCCAAACTGCATAATGTTCTATTTTATGAATGTGCCTTTCATTTAAGCTGGTCCCTGCTCAGGGACACTGTCCTTGTCAGCACTGCAGTAAACCTCTTTGTAGGTGCTGTCTCTTAAACTCTTTTAAGAGTTTCTGAAGGGTAAATTTCTAGCAACAGGATTTGTGAATTTAACATTTTGAGTCACTATTAGCAAAATCAGAAAGTATGTGCCAATGTGTGCTTTGGCGGCAGTGTATGTGTGTCTCACCCAAACCCCTTCCATCACCATTAACACAGGGATGGGGGTAATCCTCATTTGAGGATATTTTTTATTGATTTTAGATAGAGTGGAAGGGAGGCCCTGGCCAGTTTGGCTCAGCAGTTAGTGTCGGCCTGCGGTCCAGAGAGACCTGGGTTCGGTTTCCGCTAAGGGCACGTACCTCTGTCCTGGTTGCAGTTTGTCCCCGGCCCTGGTTGGGTCGTGTGGGTGAGAAACACTCGATGTGTCCCTTTCACATTCATGTTTCTCTCTTTCTCTTCCTCCCACTCTATCTGAACAAAAAATGGAAAAATGTCCTCGGGTGAGGATAAAAAAAAAAAGTCCAGAGATAGAATGGAAGGGAGGAGAGAGAGACATTGATGTGAGAGAGACACAGACACGTGGATTGGTTGCCTTCCTTGGGTGCCTTGACTGGACATGAGACCCTTCTGGGTGCTCGCTGACGCTCCAACCACTGGCCCACACAAACCAGGCTGTCACCATGAACTTTTTCATCTTGGCTAATCTGATAGCTCAGAAATGATACATTATCTATGTCTCTTATGATATAAGGTAAAGCATCTTGTCAGATGCAACTTTGTATGTTGTTTGTTATTTTTTCCCTATAAACTGCCTGTTTTTCTATTCGGTCGTTTCTCTCTTTTTTAAGTTAAGCCTCACCCAGGGATATTTTTCCATTGATTTCTTTTTTAAAATATGTTTTTATTGATTTTTTAGAGTTGGGCCCATTGAGTTTTAGATAGTGGGAGGGAGGGAGAGAGTGAGGGAAGGTAAGAGAGAAAGAGACACATCAATGTGAGAGAAACACATTGATTGATTGCCTCCCGCACAACCCCCATGGGGCTGGGGATCAAACCTACAACCCAGGTATGTGCCCTTGACCAGGAATCAAACCAGCGACCCTTGGATCCTCAGGTCAATGCTTTAACTGCTGAGCCAAACTGGCCAGGGTTGTCATTTCTCTTATGAGCTCTTTGAAACTTTATTTATTCATTTTTTTCTTTATTGATTTTAGAGAGAGAGGAAGAGAGAGGGAGAGAGAGAGAAACATCGATGAGAGAGAACATGGATTGGCCACCTCCTGCACGCCCCCAACTGGGGATTGGGCCCACAACCTGGGCATGTGCCCTGACCGGGAGTGGAACCGGGACCTCTTGGTGCAGGGTGGATGGCCAGCCACTGAGCCACACCAGCCGGGCTTTATGGGCTCTTTGTACAGGAAGGAAAGTGTGCCTTTGTCAAGAGTAGTTGCTTTTCCTTGACTTGGGGGTTTTGTTGATGTTCAGAAGCCTGTCATCTTATGTAAGCAGGTCTGTTACAATTTCCCTTTGAGGCTTCTGAGTTTCGTCCTCCGTACTCCAATATGATAGATATGGATCCCTTTTTTCTAGGACACTTATGATTTCTTTTTTTTTTTTTTTTTTTTAATCCTCACCCAAGGACACTTTTCCACTTTTTGTTCAGATAGAGCAGGAGGGAGAGAGAGAGAAACGTCGATGTGAAAGGGACACATCGAGTGGCTGCCACCCGCACGACCCAACCAGGGCCGGGGACAAACTGCAACCGTGGTACATGCCCTTAGCGGGAACCGAACCCAGGTCTCTCTGGACCGCAGGCTGATGCTCTAACCGCTGAGCCAAAATGGCCAAGGCTGATTTCATTTTTTACTTTTAATCTTTGACACTTCTGAAATTTATTTTGATGGAAAGAATAAGGGAGAGGCCCAGCTTTTCCTGTTAGCTGTATCTTTCCACTGCTGTTCATGAATATTTATCATTTTCCCTGCTTGTGCTGCCCCTGCCATACATGGACTCCCCATATGTTTCTGGTCTACTTGGGCTCTGTTCTCCAGGACCAGACTGTTGTAATTCTCAGGTCTTCACACCACCTTTGATAGTCTTTCAGGGATAGTCCCCTCCCTGTCCTCTTTCTTGTCAGTGTTTTCTGCAGCATCTCGACCTTCCCCAGACGTTCCTGGTAACCCATCTGAGTCAGAAATGCTGCTGCTGCGGGTTAGCACAGCTTTGAGTCTCTACTCTGCTGCTTTACTTCCAAAAGGGCCTATGGATGCCACTCATGGTCCAGGTCTTCTGACCTCATTTTTGGAGGTGATAATCACTTCTTAATTCGTCTCTTTGCCTCTATCCTCACCTCTTTCTAGTTCATCCTGTGCAAGTTAACGGGTTTATTTTTCTTGGCTCAAAAATCTCTAGGGTTCTTTCCAAAAATTTTTGTGCTAACTTTTAGCCCTTCATCCAGAGATCTCTGTAGACCACCTTCAAATCTTCTGCCTGAACTATGCAACAAAGCCCTTA